GCAGAGGGAGGCGGAGGCAGAAACAGCGGTGTGAGTGGGGGCGGGGCCGGGTGCCAGAGGGCAGACACTCGGATGGCTGCCCATCAGCCACCACTCGCGAGATCACAAAATCGCTATCCGGCAGCCAATAGAGCGCTCCAGTAAGGGGGCGGGGCAGACGATTGCCGGAAGCTAGGGTTTCAAACTTCCGTTCTTGCGTACCACTCCGCGGTGGCTCCCTCGCTCTACGGGTTGGCGGGAGAGTCAAAAGAAGTCGGCTGCTTTTGCGCAAGATGGCGGCTGCGGAGGTGTCGAAGTGCGGAGCGTTCGTGATGGGATGGCGACGTCTAGACTAAAGCCGAAGCAAAGAGGTCTCAGCTCCTTTAGCGTCGTTTGTGTGAGGCCAGAAGGGATGAGTCGGGGCGGGAAGGTGCCGATGCCTGAGACACGGAGGGCATCCCCCGGCTGTCGGCCTGGCCGGTTCGCGTCCCATAGGCCTAAGGAAGGCCGCCGGGCTAGAGTTCACCCTTCCGTGGGTGGAAGCAAATTCCTCCAGGTTTACTTGGCGTAAGATACCCATCGAGTCTTCACTGGAGGCCAGAGCAGTAGTCAGAGTGGCGCATCCCTCGGCCGCGCTAGAGAGGGGACAGGGAGACTTCTTCCCCAAGGTGCTCGTGGAGGGGATCCCTGCCCGAGTCGCTCACTGGGGAGGCCCCTGCACCTGGTGGCCATCAGTGTGCTCAGGGCTGAGGGTGCTGGAAGGAGCAGGAGGGGGCCCGGGAGGAAGGTGATAAATGGATATTTACGTATTTATTTGCTGGTTATTGTCTGTTTGCTTGAGATGAATGCAAACTCCCGTCATTGCAGTGTGCTGTAATGTTAGGAAATTTAAAAATGCTTCAGGAAGAAATGTTTAGAAATTGGGGTGAGATGGTTAGTGTGATTGCTTAAAAGTAAAGTCTTGGGCTGGGGATTTAGCTCAGTGGTTCTGCCGCCTGCCTTGCAAGCGCAAGGACCCGAGTTCGATCCCCAATAGGGAAAAATAAAAATAAAAAGTAAACAGTCTTTAGAAAGCGAGGTCAGACTTTACTTCACAGAAAGTAGTTCAGTAGGAGGGTAGGTTGGACAATGACTACTGGTGGTGGACATTTTCCATTATTTGAATGAGTTTAATCTGCAGGTCCAAAGTTCTGACACATAGCCTGTTTAAAAACACAGATGCGATGCAGTCAATAGTGACAGCTTTTGTACTGCTTAGCCCTAGGTAAACAGTTGTTTTATATCAACTCAAAGGGGCCTCCCAAGGGAGAAGCTTGAAGCCAGTGCCCTAAGGAGAGAGAAAGATCTCTCGAGAAGTTAGCAGCACCTCCTCATTCCACCTGATCCTAATAGAAACTAGGCTATGTTTAGTATTTCCCAGCCTTGAGATTATTCTTCAGGTTGCCACAGTGTCTTCCTAACCCACATTCTTCCCAGAAGTCTTGCCAGCTCCCCTATATAGCCACGACAGACAGGATGGTCTCTTCATCTCTCGTCTCTGTCCGCTTGACACACTTCACGGACTCCAGTTGCCTGTGTAACATGAGTGTAACTGAAGTCTCACCTCTTTATTTCCTCACCCTTTCCATCCCAACCATTTTTACCTTCTGTGACCCTCCATTCACTAAGCATTCTTGTCTCCCAGCCTGATACAGTTAGCCCTGTGTAAGATGCTTTCCTCAGCTGCTCAACAGAGATGTAGCTTCTTTGGTAAATATTCTCTACAACAGAGCTGGATTTACTGCTTTTCTTTGTGGTCACACATATCTTAAAGTCTACCCTATCCCTTGTCACTGATGCCTAATAGTAAGGCATGATTAACCATAAAAGTATAAGCTTCACAAGGACAAGAACATATGGTTATAGCTGAGGCATCCAGCACATAATAGGAGCCTGATAAAATGCGTTGAGTAGATGAAGGAATAAATGAGTGAACAGTACTGAGGGCCTTAACCAGAAGCAGCAGTAGCAAAAACAAAAAAAGGAGACCTCCACTTAGGTGGGAAGTGGCCAGACCATGAGGGAGTTATGGGAGGGAAGTCCAGAATCATGCTCAGATGTGGAGCCTGCCTGGTCAAATGGTGGCATCCACTGAGGGAAATGATTATGATGAAGGAGGTGGATCAAGGGGAGAGAAAGATGATGGATTCTGTGTGGGCCATGTTGAATTTGAGGTGCTTATGGGATGCATGTATACCTCAAAGGAAAGATCAGAGCTGAAACTGAGAGTTGATAAATACATTTAGAGAGAAACAGAGATAAGGAGTGGCTTAAGTCTAGAATTTAGAAGAATGGCAGCATACAGTCGCCAAGAAAGAGGTTGTCTATTGAAGAACAGAGTAGTAGTCAGAGAGCCCTACAGAAAACCAGGGACTTAGAGTGCTCTCTCCAGAGTGTTAGGGTGTAGAGTTTCAAGAAGATGTGATTATTGGTGTCATCCCAGCAGGAAGGTGCAGGGAGCAGTCAGAAAAACTGGCGCTTGAATTGTTGGTGACCACAAGGAGTAGAGTGACATGATAGGAATGAGAAGGGTTTGATTTTGAGGAGGAGAGAGGTGAAGATACCTAGGACCATGCAATAGATGTGGAGAGAAGTGATCACATGAAACACTGACGTGGCAGGTAAGGTGACTGTAAGGACCATTTCTAGACCTCTAGCTTGTGCATTTGTGTTTATAAGGTGGGATCATCTCCTAAATAGGGAACACCAGAGAAGGACCTGGGTTTGGGGGACAGATCAGAAATGGTGAGCCCATTTTTGCATGCATTAGGTTTTAAGTGCATTTGAGACAGACAAGTAAGGGTATCAGGAACTGGTGAATGGATGGATTCTGATCCAGATAGAAATAAAGGTAACCACAGTCAGATGTGGGTGAGGTCTCCTTGGAGGGTGTTTGTAGTAAAGACAAAAGAGAGATGAGTGGGTCCTAGGACAGGCCACATTGGTTACCACTGGGAGCAGTCTCCAGGTTGACCAAGATGTCAGCCTGATGGTTCATCAATGGATTAAGCTCCCTTATGCAGGACATGGGCCTGTGGCAGAGGGAATCCACCCCCCTTGGCCCACATCTAGGAGGGGCCACTAGGTAATCAGAGCTTTAACAAGCCAAAGTCACTTTGAACCTGAGAAGTTTCATTTTGAAAGTGTGGTATTAAGGATATATGTCTTGAAAGAACACTAATGAGTTTTTTTAAAAGGAAAGAAGAGCATTTTGAGAATAAAATGTGAAGTGCTTCCAAACTCAAATTATAGAATGTGGGAATAACAGTGCATCAGCTGTGTTTTACAGAGCCACATTATTTTGGTGGATATTTTTATTTTACTCTCCAAATCCAAAAGATGAACCTCTGTACTCCAGTGTCCTGACTTTCAAAGAGATTTAGCTGAGCAAGCCTCCTGATTTTTCAGGATAATTCACAAATCCATTATTTCTTGCTGCTCAGAGTCATTAGCACAAATAGGTAGTAAATATCTATATGGCAATCTTGGTTGACTTAGCTTTTTATTATCCTTAAGTTTCTTAGTGAAGATGTTGGGAGAACTGTATTGTTATTTAGTTCTGCTGATAAATTTTGTTGATTCGGTAAAAGTAATAAAACTGGATCCAGCATGTTAGCTGAAACAATGGGGAAGTAGTACAGCCTTTCTAGAACCTGTAGAAAAGCCCAAATAGCAGTTGCTTCATTTACACAGGCAACACACTTCATATATGGTTTCATATTGAGTTTGATTATGCCCTTCAGACCTAGGTGGTCAGGATTTGATACACACTTAATGGATTAGGATTTAATCTTCATTTAAAATTAACAAAAAACATAAATATACTTGACACACAAAATATGTGCCTAGCTGTATCAGTATGTGTCTTAGATTAGTGATTGGAGGAAAGCACTGAGTGGAGACAAGGCAGATTTTATTTCCTTTACTCTCTCTCTTTTTTTTTTGTACCAGGGATCAAACTCGGGACCTTGCGATTTTGAGGCAGGCACTGGCACCACTGAGCTAAATCCCCTGTTCTATCTTTTTTTTTTTTAACCTCTTACATTTGTTTTTATTTTAGTTTGGTTTGGTTTTTGCAGTGTTGGGGGTGGAACCCAGGGCCTTGCATGTGCTAATCAGCAAGTGCTCTACCACTGAGTTGTACCCTAGCCCCACTTTTGTTTTTTCTCTACATTTATTGTTTAAATGCTTTTTTCTCATTGGAATGACAAACCTTTGTATGTTTAGTATTTCTCTGCACACCATAAGAGGTACCATTGCTGGCTTCCCACCTCCCATAGGCAGATTTGTATAGATCTTATTTCTCCTGTGGACAAAACATTTCAAAATTTTAGAAGCAGTTGGTTCAGTTTTGGAACTCAAAAAAAATCTGGTATAGGAGGGGTAATTTAGTAGAGTGTGGTGGTGCATGCCTGTAAACCTAGCACTCGGGAGGCTGAGGCAGGAGAACCACCAGGAGTTTGGACCATCCTAGCCTAGTGAGTTCAAAACCAGCGTGGACGGCATAGCCAGAGCCTGTCTCAAAAAAGAAAAAAACCAAAAAAGATGGGATAATTTATGGACGTTCCTTTTGTTGAAATTCCAAATAAAAATTGAACTTTCATTTTCTGGTGTCCCCATAGCTGAGCTTCTTTTATTTCTGTTGGCATTTCCTTCAAGTAAACTTTTTCACTTTCACCTTTTTTTTTGAGCTAAGCAAGAATAGGAATTAATTTGTATACTACATGTTGAATGTCCCTCTTCCAAAATGTTTAGGACCAGATGTGTTTTCAGATTTTGGAATGTTTGCTCTTATATAATGAAATATCCTGGGGGAGGGACCAAATGTACACATAAAATTCATTTGTTTCATATATACCTTGTGCGCATAGCCTAAAGGTAATTTTATATAATATTTTTAGTGTGGTTGTACTTGACGGTCCATTGCTTGAGGTCAGCTGTGGGATTTGATGTCTGAGCTCAGAAAGTTTGAAACATTCTAGGTTTCACATTAGGAATGCTCTACCTGTATTCCTGTTCCAGAAAAACCCTACTTCTGGAAGATCACTGTTTAGACCTGACTTCAGAAAGTCTCTTCCACCTTTCAAGTGCTGTATTTTCACTTGAGAAGAGACCTGTATGTGTAGCTTGTGCAGTGTAGTCTGCATTGTCCCTGAGCCCCATACCCCAGGACACTGTGGCTGTGTGGAAGGCCGAAGAGGCTGTGTGGAAGGCCGAAGAATGGTACCTCTCGCCTTGAGAGCTGGTCACCTTGTTTTGGAAAGTCCCAACACCTTTCTCCTGTGCTCACCAGCAGTCTTAGCAACTCAGTGCGTTGTGAATTTGATTTTCTATTTTTCTGTGTTCTGTACTCTGGTGAGCCTGTAAGAGCAAATGTCTTATTCTTAAACTGCTTTTCTGTTACACTCTAAAAGGCATTATTTGTTTGGCTTTCTTACTTGATGCATCCTTTATAGACTGTTAAGAAATAAAACCAATCAGATAGGAAATAGTTTTTTATGCTGTTTACTTCTTAGTATTTATTTTTCACTGAACTTGAAAGGAAAACTTTTAAGAGTACCAAACATCAGGTAGGAGTAATAAACATGGTTCAGTATTAATGTGTTTCTTCTTCTTGCGATAACAAAACTTAAGAGTTTATTATATTAGGGTACATAAAAATACTTAGGTGCACTCTGTGAGGCTCTGTGGAACATGGTAGAACTGAGAATGATGTGTGGACTTGGTCTTCAGTGTAGTTCTTTTGCCTTGTCTGTAGATGTTGTGAGTCCACGGCTGCCATGTCTTGAGTAATCTACACATCCACAGATCTGTTCTTCGTTTTCTAAGTAAAAGTCATAGCACAAGTGCCAGTTACACGTATTCAGTGTGTGTGTGTTATTTGTACGGCACTGGTGGAGATGGTTCCCTTCTGTCATCCATTGCCTTTTCCTTTTCTATTTTACCTAGAAAACCAAATGCAGGTTCTCAGTTGCTACTCTGAACATTAGACAACATTCCATGCAGCAGCTGACTTTCTGTAGGGCTTTGGGGCTGAAGCACAAAGTTTAATTTCTACTGCTAAGTTTTCCCGTTTTTTGGTTTTTTTTTTTCCCTTTCTTTCTTTTCCCCATGTTGCTGGTCCCCATGCTGTACTCACTACTAGACCTGTGCACTCTGCCGCTTGACAGTTGGTTTTATCAAAACCACTTTAGCCAAACCCAGTAATATCCTTGAAGTTGCCTTTTCTGATAGTACTGTGACTCATTGGTACACAGTACGTTAACCTCATTCCTTGAGAGGGGAACCAGAGACCAGTGCTGTGCTCCTTTCGCTTTGGGAAGCAGTAGCCAGTGTGGCTGCCACTTGGCTGCCCTTGCAGCGTTAACGTTTGAACTGGAAGTACGGCTCCATGGCACAGCCTTTGCCAAGCCCTGGGTGCTGGGCCAAACAGACAAACGAAAGTAAATAAAGTTGGCGGGTCTTACACAATGTGAAAGTAATGAAAATTAATCATTTTCTCAAAAACAAAGTAAGCTTTTTCAACAGTACAAAAATGCAATTGAGTCCTCCATTTTCATGTTCTGCTTCTATGGAAAATATTTGGTGTAGCGAAGCATGGTGGTGATCACCTGCAATTCCAGCACTTCGGGCCTCAGACAGGGGTCTCTGTGAGTCGGCGGCCAGCCTGAACTATGTCGGCAAGACTGACTGAACCAAACGAAAGAGTCAGAAAAAACAAAAATCAGGAAAAGAACCCACGTCCCTGCTGAGCGAGTACAAACTTTTTTCTTGTCACCGTTTCCTAATCAACACAGTGTAATGTTGGCATAGCATTTACTTTGTTAGGTATTGTAGGTCATCTAAAAGTAAATGGGACGATGGACGTGGGTTCTGCGCAGATTCTGAACCATTATTTTATACGGGCTCGACCCTGTCTTGCCCGGCGTTAGGGAGGGAGGGACTGCTGCTCTCCACTGGTCTTTCCCTGGGAATCCGCATTCTTTCCCGGGGAAAGCAAGGTCATATCTTGTAATTGCCGGTCAACGAACCTGTGTGATTCTACAAGTGGTTGAGCACTGAGCCAGGCGACATGGCTGGGAGCAGGCAAGGGCGGGCCCGCGCCATCAGCGCTGTCTGCTGAGAGAGTCCGGGGCCTGAGTAGCGTGAGAGGAGCCCTGTGGGCGCTGTCCCTGCCGACTGGCAACTTCCGGGGAGCCCAGCCGGGTTCCTCAAACTGAGGTCGAGACCTTGGAGGAGGGGCCGAGGGGGCCGCACCTCAGCCCAGTGGCACGCAGTCGCCTGTGCTCCTTTTCCTGTCTCCCGCCCTTTTGGACCCGGGTTACGCTGCCCGGCGTCACGCCTTTCCCCGGCTAAACGTTTACCTGATCAGCTGCCCGCGGCTTCTGCCGCTGCGTGAGTGCGTTTTCATTTGGGATCGCTTTCGGGCCGGCAGTTTCTTTAGGACTGGAGTTCTAGCCCTACGCCTTCTGAACGACGGCTCCGGGGGCCACCCCCCTCCCCACCCCTGCCATGGCCCGTTGCCGCTGCCTGGGGGTTTTGTTTGTAGATTGGGGCATTTAGGAAAGAATTGTTTTGAGACAACTGGAGGTGCTTTGCCCTGTAGGTCTCACTTTTAAAACATTTGGTTAGTACTCTTGGCTACTGCAGGGAGGAATGGCAGCAGGTAAACGGGGATGACCCCAGAAAGATGCCTTGTGAGCAAACAGCGGCTAGCTGAGCCTGCTTCCTCTTGGAGGAGCACAGTGGGGACCCTGGAGGGAAGGGGTCAGACCGGAAAGCCAGTTCTGCGCGCCTGGCTGGGCGAACCAGAGAGCCCGCAGTGACTCTGGGTTCTGCCTTTCCCTTCCCTCTGCTGTGTCTGCATTTTCTGTGCTTCGCTCATGCCTTCCCCTTCTGTTCATCTCCGAATGCCCTGTTTGAAACTGCACCACGGGGGGTGGGGGGGATCTTCATTTTAAGACCCCGAGGACTGGGGTAGCTCTGAGGTAGACTGCTTTCCTGGTAAGTGAGAGATCTTGGGTTCAGTATCCTTTTAGTTAAGGAAAAAAATAATCCTTAACTAAAAGGACTAGGCAGGGCACCCCCACATCAGCTCCATCTACAGTGCCCTTTGTCCTTTGCAGGGAGGCCTGTTTACCCAAGTCTTCCCTTCCAAGTGAACCCCAACTGCCTGTTCAAGCTGGTTTCAGCCCCTTCTCTCTGGATGCTAAACTACCGACTATACATCTGCGGACAGAACCCTTCCTCTTCACCTGGGTGGCACAATAAGGCAGCGGGGGGGTGGCAGTGTGGGCTTCTCCCTGCCAGATTCCACAGCTACTTCTTTGGAAGTCTTTCAGAAACTGGTAGGCCTTGTGGTCTTGGGATGTGTTGATTAGGAAGCATACCTGTCCGAGTCCCCTGTTCACTGATGGAAGCATCAGAGGCCTCTGGGTACAGATTGACTGGACATCTCTTTGCTCTTGGAGAAGGGCTAAAAACCAGAGGCCAGGGGATTCCTTCTCCAAGAAACGTGTCACGCACTGAGGTAGAAGCGGGGTCTGTAGAGGCAAGTCATGGGCAAAGCCTGTCTGCTCGGGGTAAGTAGCCAATGTCCATGGCGCCTCCAGGCAGCAGCTGTCCTTCCCCATGTTTCCCGAGCTATTTGGGGACCGAAATGATGGGGTGTCACACTGGTTACCGCTGAGGAAATTTAAGGAAAGCCAAGTGGAATGTCGTATACCAACCAGACCTCCCTCTCCGTGGCCCTAGGTAGTAAATGTGTTTGGTGGTCGCCACTCCGGTGGGAGACTCGGGATCGCGGTGGAGCAGGCTGGCTTATCTTGAGCTCCCACGCCTTACGTGCCGCACGCACGCGCCCAGAGGTTGCGTCTGGTAGTTCTGAGAGGGGAGCGGACGTAGTGGGGAGCTTCGTTTTGGGCAACTGAGTCTAAGGTCTAGGGGAACCCGGACGGCTGGACGCCCCTCGCTGCTTCGCGTATGCCTGACTGCGGATGGCGGGGGAGTGAAAAGTGTGGCCCGCAAAAGGGAACGCTAGGCCTTTCCTTCTGATGCTTTTCGCCCCTGCCTCTGACGGAGGGTTCACCCGGGAGTGCCAGCCCCACCCGCGCTAATCATTGAGACGTGAAGCGCGGCCAGCGTGCAATCCCTGCAACGGACCTCGGGGGTCGCCCATCCCCTGACTGGGCTGTTCGGAGGATCTCGTGCCTGGCTTTAACCTCAAGGAATCCTTGGCCGCGGTAGGGAAGCAGTCAGGTGAAAGCGTAGGGCAAAGCGGACTCAAAATATGCCTAGGGCACAGGTGTGGGCGACGGGAGCATGCGCGGGGCTGGGCAAGGCTGCGTGGGGCCAGTCCCAAACCTCAGCTCGCGTCGCAGCTTGCCGCTCTAGGCTCCGGCAGCTCGGTGGCCAACCTCAACCGGCCGGGCGAGGGCGCCGCTCTAGGCAGCGACGTTTCACTTGCTTCC